TGAGGTCTTTGTGAAAAATTTCCTAGAAGGTAAAACACTAATAATACATGCATGATTTTAATTTGGGGATTTATAAAATTGAAATGAATTTTTTTAAGGTAATTTTAATTATATGTGGGTGCTCATTTAATTAAATTAAATTTTGGAAGGGTTTATTTATTAAAAATATTAATATTTAATAATAAATTAAATTTTTTAGAAATTATAAAATTTAAATTATAATATTGATTATTGTAAATTAAAATTTCATCTTGGTTAATTATTATATTTGACAAAAAAAATTTGAACTTCAAAAACAAAATGTTGTAAAAAATAAAAATATATGTACTATATTTAATATTTTTCAAAAGTTTAAGGGGCAACTTGTCAACCACTAGAAAGAATTCCGTTAGTCAATTAACGGAATGTTTGTTGACTAGACCATTTTGAAACAAAATTGATACTTTATAGATCATTTAAAAAAAAAATTATTTCTAAACTAAATTAAAATGAATCACATAGTTAATAGATTATTTATTGAATTTAACCATTAAATACACAACAATCAAACATTCAACTTTTCCTTATTAATTTTTTTGTCTACCAGTGGAACCAGTAGGACCCTTCTTTTTGTGTCTGCTTCTATACTATTCTTTTTGGTTTTTGCACCTTTGTTGCACTTTTGTATTTTTTTGATTTGGTCCTGTTTTTCTATTATGTCCTAAACAACCATATAGTTACTTATAATGAAATTGCAATGTTTACAATGTTATCCTTTGCGTACTTTAGTAAATCTTGCATTTATATAGCTAAAAATACTCAAAAGATTGATGTATTTTACCAACTAACATGGCCAAAAAAGAGTCATATATTCCATTTCACATTTGTAATTCATAGGAGATTGCCTTTGGCTTGGCCTAAGGGACCCATTACAAAAACAGAAAAAAAAAAAAAACCCTTTAGAAAAGTAAATAAGTATCTAACACAAACTGATTGGCAAATAAGCAATATCGAAGAGAACACATTTTCAATTTCAAGCAACTTGAAGCAACTATCTCATGACCAATGAGCATTTTTCCCATTCTAGAGTTCAAATCAGTGTTTTTGAGTCCGATTAAGTCTGATTGGTTGAACTAGTTAAACCGGACTCCAGCTTAAAAATGAGCCAGTTGCATACCCCAGCCTGTTTTGTCAAATAGCCCGTTATGACCCGTTAAAACTCGCTTCACCCGATAGGCCCGCTAGATCCGTGTAGCCCGCTCCAGCCGGCCGGGCTGAATTCTGTCCATCTCTTTTTCTCTTTTAACTTTTTTTGTTTTTAATTTTTAATGGAAATTTTGTTTTTAATTTTTAATTTTAATTGTTTGAATTTTAAAATTTTTTTTAGGGGGAGAGAAGTAATTTGGCCGGGTGGAAGTGGGAGCCGCGTTGGTAGATTATATTTTTAA